CTTCCCAACATCTTCATTTAGAATTCTTAAGGTTTCATGCCTTAGGTTTAAGTCTGTTATCCATCTTGAATTGATTTTTGTGAGAGGTGAGAGGTGGGGGTCCAGTTTCAATCTTTCGCATGTAGCTATCCAGTTTTCCCAGCACCATTTATTGAAAAGAGATTCTTTTCCCCAGTGTATGTTTTTGTCAGCTTTAGTCAAAGATTAGATTACCATATGCAGATGGTTTCATCTCTGGATTCTCAGTCACGTTCCAGAGGTCAATGTCTCTGTTCTTGTGCCAGTACCAAGCTGTTTTAGTTACTATAGCCTGGTAGTACAGCTTGAAGTCTGGCAGACTGATACCTCTCAGTTTGTTCTGAATAAACTTTTTAAGAAAGGAATTAAGTGCTTCAGTCTGGAACCTGTCACATCAACAGTTACCCAGTCCACAGCCTGCTGACCACTGACATTGCTGTGGGATAAAAGTACAGTAGACTCATATACTGGAATACTGGTCACACAAGGAGTCTCTCTGATTTTTGTTTTTTCTTTTTTGGAGTAATATCTAACTTGTGTGCACACATAATTAAAATCATTTACATTCCAGTGTAACCAGCAGTCCATAAATTATAAAAACTGATAGACATTCAAGAAACAACCATAAAAACCAGCTGGCTCATGGCGAAAGTTAAGCATACTTCATTATTTCACCACAAATACAATTTTCAAAATGTAACATGTGTTAAAAATCATACTTTAAAAGAATATTTAATGTAATAGAAAAATACTCAATTATATTAAATGAAAAAATCAGGTTCTGATAATCCAAAGACATAACTTACATGGAGCACATTTTGGATCACACCACATATTTTAAGGAGTTCTCTATCACAGAGGAAATCTATACACAAAATGCTATCAGTGGCTGACTATGCGTGGGAGAATTATTGATATTTTAAAATTTCTGTACACTTTTCTATACTTTTTATATATTCTACAATGAAAAAACATTACAAGTAAATCAAGAAAGAAAATCACTTACTCTGTTGGCTCTCCTTCATCAGGTAAGATATTTCTGGTACACTGAAGAAGGTAATTTCGAAGAAATAGACCCCTCAAGGGATGCTGCACACCACGGCACATTTCTACCAAATCTTTCAGAATATCTTTCCTGGACTGAGGAAATGACTTGACGTATACAACGCCAACTGTGATTAACAGATAACTAGGAGAATTATAGAAAACATTTGATTTCAGGAATTAAGAATTTGATTATTTCCAAACACACTGAATATAAACATATTAAATAAACAAGTTAGGAACTATGTTTTCTCCTGTACAATGAAGGAAATATTGTCTGATTTAAAATATAACCACTCCTTACATGTATATGTAAAATATAACCACTTACAAGTAACCATTTACAAATATATGTAAAATATAACCACTCCTTACATTATATGTAAGGACCAACTCCTTACATATCACCTTTAAATGTATCAGGAAGAGAATAATTGTCATATTAATTTTTCTAGTAGTTAAGACATTACACAAAATAGCATATCCATTTTTTCTATTGCTAAAATTCTGCAACTATATAAAAAGTAAATTTAATTACGATAAAACTTTAAATGACAGTGTATCTACCAAAATGTTAAGAAATTAAATACCCTTAAGAAAATTTTTTTAAAAAGGCTGCTAATTTTAAAGGACATAACATAAAGTGGGGACTGCAGACATAAAAGTCCTCAGATCATTAATTACTTACAGCCTTGGGATAATATTTCCAGCATACTGTACAAGTTCATAGAGATCTGCAACTTTTCTTCCTTTAGCAAACTCATCTGTCAGGTAGACCTCCAAGTAGTGTAGTTCATCAGAAATAGCCATATCTTTTAATAATGATTAAGGACTAAAAATAAACATAAGCCAACCTAAGTGAAACTCTGCAACTTGTTAGAGTCATTAAAACTACTGGGCAGATATCTTAAATCTTAGTCCTTTAAGAGGGAGCATTTAAATGAAGACAATTTCAGTTGGGCTTTCTTTACTTCAAAATAAATGTTTTAAGGGATATCTGGTGAAGCAAAGCAGTAAATACAGTGATTACCTGTCAGATTGCTAACAAATTTTGAAATGGCAAATGATTGAATTCTTTTCCATTTCAGAGTCCTGTATGACAAATTCTAAGCAATAAAGAACCCATCTGCTTCATGAAGGGTCTGAAAATTAAGATAGGCTGGGCGGGTGGCTCATACCTGTAATCCTAGCACCCTGGGAGGCCAAGGCGGGAGGATTGCTTGAGCTCAGGAGCTCGAGACCAGCCTGAGCAAGAACGAGACCCTCGTCTCTACTAAAAATAGAAAGAAATTAGCCAGGCAACTAAAAGTAGAAAGAATTAGCCAGGCACGGTGGTGTGTGTCTGTAGTCCTAGCTACTCAGGAGGCTGAGGCAGGAGGATCACTGGAGCCCAAGAGTTTGAGGTTGCTGTGAGCTAGGCTGACGCCACTGCACTCTAGCCTGGGCAACAGAGTGAGACCCTGTCTCAAGAAAAAAAGAAAAATGACGATATAACAACACATTTAAGCATAGATAAAGGGTATTCTGAAAGTTTTTTCTCATTTAACACATTGACATGGAAAAGGAATACCATTTGACTAAGACAATGAAGAATAATGTAACTCCAGAGAAATTTAATAAAGAAAAGAACAAAGTTGGCCTTATCAAGAAAAAAGTATGGTCCAAATGTTTATTCTTCAACATTCAAAAGATACAAAGTTCATAGTAGCTCTTTGGCGATAACATAGAAGTCCGGAGTTCACCAAGCATATTAGAAGCATGTTTCAGAGCATCCATAAGCTTGTTTTTGTCCTACAGAAATAACAAGATAATAGATCAGAATCCTTAATTTAAATAAACATTTATTTTGGTTGTATAAACTCTTTACATCAAGGACTTGATACATAGTTTTAAAAGTATAAATCCCTTAAATTATTTTAACCACATTAAAAAAAAAATCAACTTTAGTTTCACCTTGCTTTCCCTTTACAAAAAAGAAAAAGATGCAAGATTCCTCACCAGGGCTATAGAGCTTGGCAAGACTTACATATCTAGCACCATTAGCTTCCTGATATAACACTAATCTTTCAGCCTCTAGAGACTAGGAAACTAGCTCCATTAATTCACATTTTACCTGCAATCAAAAGAGCTGGCATACCAATTCTTTTGAAGCCAAGACACTATCCTGACAATGGCTTTGTCACAGGTTAAAGACCCTTCAGAGCTGTGTGAAGTGACTACCATGTAAGTTTGCTGTCTCCTGTGTTCTTCAAACCCTCCCAATGTCCACATGCTCCACTAAACTCATAAATGAAGACAGTTACTTGAGATATAGGAAACACTATCCATACACAGAAAGAAAAAGATGCAAAGAATAGCAAATCCATTTTCTCCATTCCAAGACATTTATTTTTCATTCCAAATTTGTTTGCAAGGAACCCATACAAGATACAAGAGCATATTATTAACACTAAGCTTTAGAAACTGTAAGACACTTTACTAAGTATCATCATCATAATCATCATCATCACAGCAACTTATGCTTGAAGTACCAACCTATTCTGTTCAATTCCTTAAATTTTAATCCACAGGATCTACAGTATCTGCCTAGATTATCCCCTAGCCTATCTTTTAGAATATGAAAATATATAAATAGGTATTAAGTATAATTTTTAAGCTAGCTTCTGCAATAAACATATCTATTCACACTAAAAATTCAAGTTTTCAAGATATTCAAGGGGAAAAAAGCTGAATAATTTAAACTGAAAGTATTTAAATACATTCATTTAACACGTATCTATTGGGTATCAGTTTATGTTAAATACACCTTGCGTTTGAAGTATAGAACCAAAGAGTCTAGTAATTCAGGTCAGATATTGGCGTGGTGACAATACAGTAACATGTAAATAAAAGGCAGGGTCTCTTGTTCTCATGAGCTTACATTCTAAAAGAGAAGACAGAAAATCCCAAACAATAAATATCAATATGAGTAAACAGGGCTCTCTGTTGACACTGCCCCACGGAGTGGCTGAGAGACATGGGACTCAAGACAGATGCTGGTGGACACTGAAGATTAGAATTACCAGAAGCAGTGGTGCTAACTTTAGAAAACACGGCAGATGCTTTCTTAGGAACATAAACTGCACCTGTGCCTCCCATATTTTCATTCTTACCAGGCATCTCTTCATCTGGAATGACTGGACCTTCACAGCCTGTATAGCTTCATCCAAGAGCTTTTCCTGCTCATCCTGAGGCGACTGCTGTGTTGTAGGCTGAAAAAAAAAATCCATTAATGTCTTATAAGCACATTCTTCTAGCAAATCTGTTATTTCTACAGATCTAGCCACAGTCCTCTCCAAGACTTTCACAAAGGCTCATTCCAGCTCTGTATCTCAAACCCATTTATCAGTTTTTTTTATTTTTTTATTTTTTTATTTTTTTGAGGCAGAGTTTTACTCTGTTGCCCGGGCTAGAGTGCCATGGTGTCAGCCCAGCTCACAGCAACCTCAAACTCCTAGGCTCAAGCGATCCTTCTTTCTCAGCCTCCTGAGAAGCTGGGACTACGGGCATGCGTCACCATGCCCGGCTAATTTTTTCTATATATTTTAGTTGTCCAGCCAATTTCTTTCTATTTTTAGTAGAGACGGGGTCTCGCTCTTGCTCAAGCTGGTCTTGAACTCCTGAGCTCAAACGATCCTCCCGCCTCAGCCTCCCAGAGTGCTGAGATTACAGGCGTGAGCCACCGCACCCAGCCACCATTTATCAATTTTTGACAGCTACTGAACACAGAGCTGTGCCCAGTCACTGAAGTCAACAGCATATGACTGACGAAGGAAAACAGCAGTGTATGAAGAATCGCCTTTCTCAGAAACTGATTCAATATTCTTGTGGTAAGCTGGCCTCAGAGAAACTTGTGGTGGTAGTCCATGGCTGTGTTCTGCTAATCAAACCAGAACGTAGTCATCCAACCAATCTAAATCTTGTGACAGGTATAGTCTAACCCAAATCTCTTTTTAAAAGGCTCTCTTTTCCTCTAGACTATTTTTTATCTGTATTTTAGCCTACTCTTAGACTAATGAACCACTTTATGAGAACAATGACCACCTGCCTCCTGCCCAGCAATATATAACAACGGACTAAACAGCTTAGAAATAAAATAGCTGAAATTATTGTTACTGACTTAAAGTAGAAAATGATAGACTACTTTCCTCAAATACCTAGCTTATTTCATTTCAAATACATGGATCTACAGCTATAATGCACAATATATCTAGCTACTCTTCTTTTTGCCATCAGCAAAAATGTGCTTGCAAAATGAATTAGAGCTCCCTGTCCAGTAGAATTAACCACTACTTCATGCTGTATAAACACTGTGTTTACATCTCTATCACAGCATGCATAACATTATAATTATAAATGATGGTCATTTTTACATCTTTGGGATACAACATACTGCCTGATATATAATGTTCATTGCATGAATGAAGAAGTTGGTTTCAGAATGTTTAGATTATATATTTAACAAAAAAATGACTAAAGAAGGAAGTATTGATACATGCTACATGAATGAAATCAGAAAATGTTATGCTAAATCAAAGAAGCCAGACACAAGCGGTCACATTTTGTGTGTTTCCATCTATATGAAATATTCTGAATAGGTAAACCATCCATAGAAACCAAAAGAAGACTGATGGTTACCAGGAGGGAGGGTGGGGAAGTAATTGTTTAACAGGTACACAGGGTTTTCTTTTGGGGTGAGGAAAATGTTTTGGACCTAAATAAGGGTAGTTGTTGTACAATACCACAAACGTACTTAATGCCACTGAATTGTTCACTTTCAAATGGTTTATTTTATGTTATGTCAATTTCACCTCAATTTTTTAAAAAAGATAAAAGACAGAATGCCTCCCACACAATGAACCCAAAAGGTGCAAGGCAAGGACTTAAATATGAAAGTAAAATCTGGTCTGTTTCATTAAAACAATCAAAACAAAACTTCATTTTGAGACTAACAAACATTAGCCACTTCTCAACTCCAATAGCTTATAAAAACTTAGACCACTTTTGGTCTAATTTTGGAATAAGAAAAATTAATTGAATAATGAGCAACGCCATGTATCACCCTTTTTTTCTTATGACAAGCTCTAGTAAACTGAGTTCCGCTGCAACCACTCTTGCTCAGAATCATAAATAAATTTTAAAGAAAAAGTTAGGTGTCCTTTAAACTTTCCTTAAAGGGAACATCAATTTATACAGCAGAACTAGTAGCATAAAATGCTGGTTTCACAAGGATGACATCAGCATTTAAAGATTCTGACTCAATAAAATTTACTATTTATCATGGGCTAGTCCTCTGAGAATTTTAGTGAAACCAAGCTATCATTTAGATTGTTTTAGCTCCTTACCTCTGGATATGAAAGATTTAATAATAATTTTAATCAATGGATTTCATTAAGTTCAAATGGTCAACTTAGAGATGAGGGGTGATACATCAGGACATTTTTATTGTGGTAAAACATACATAAAATTTACCATTTTAATCATGTTTAAGTGTGTGGTTCTTAACATTAATCACATTTAAGCGTGCAGTACTTAAACATTAAGCACATTCGCACTGCGGTGCGGTCCTCGCCACCACCCGCCTCCTCCACTTTCTCATCCTTCCCGATGGAAACACTCTATTCCCGTTAAATCCCCCAGCCCTGCACAACGCAATTCTTTTTTTTTCCTGAGTTTGACTATTCCGTGGACCTTATATAAGTGAAATCATACAGTATTTTTCCTTTTGTGTTTGGTTTATTTCACTTAGCCATGTTTTCAAGGTTCATTCGTGTTGTAGGACGTGTCAGAATTTTCCTCCCTTTAAAAAGTGAGTAATATTCCATTGCATGTATATACTACATTTTGTTTATCTATCCATCCATGGATTGACGTGTAGGTTGTTTCCACCTTTTGGCTATTATGTATAATAATTTTTATTATATAACTAATGAAACTGTGGCTATAAAAAGATTACAAACAGTTCCAGAAATATTAGTATAGAATGATTAGAAAGATTCAGTAATCTATAAATAAATGAATAAAATTTTAGCAAAATTCTTTTTTTTAAAGGCCCAGGCGAAGGCTGCTGCGGTGCGGCCCGGGTTAGGGCAGCAAAATTCTTCTATTTTGTATCAACTGAGCTTAAAATCAATAGAAATGTAAATACAAAATATTGAAAATTACAGAAGACAACTGATTACAAAGTAGGCTACAAATGAAGAAATAAAGCTATAATAAAGAAATAGACTTTTACATATTACTCATAAGACAACGTAGTTATATTATCAACAGCTATTCTAAGGGCTATTCTTCATGCTCTTCCTGGGAAGAAACAGTTATTATATGAACATACTATCATTAAACACAAACCAGGCAACCAATGTCTCCTCACACATTAAAGTGGCTTTCCATTTGCAAATTACCACTTCACAGCTACATGGATCAAAAAAAAAATGGAAACAGTATAGAATCAAGATCAAATGAACAATCGTGATTAGGCTCAATTTAGGTTGAGAACCAGAAACAGCCCTCTCAAGTTTACAGTTATAAGGTGCACAGCAAAGCAAAGGCTATCATGAACTGATCACTTATAAAATGACTCTACATTCAAACAATGTACTTTTGTTTCCTCTTATGTAAAACAGGCATAATAAGAGTACTTGAAACACAGTTATGAGGAATAAATGAAACGACACAGAAAAAGCTCAAACCACTTAGTAACAAGTAATAAGTGTTACAATTATTATTACATTATTTCCACCTATCCTATTTGTTGTTCAATCTCCTCACTCAAATGCTGTAGATGTAATCTAACAATACAACGCAAACCAATTGTAAAATGAAAACTAATCTCACAAAGATACAAAATTTCATTATGTTAATGAAAGTGCTATTTAAAAATTATGACATGGTGCAAATTAACAACTGAAGTAGTAAGGATGATGAGGAGGGAACTTCAAAATATAATTTGAATGCCCAACTGGTGCTAACTTCATTTGCCAATACATCTCCCCAGAAATCCTATGACAGAGCACCCTTGAACATTCAGTTCTCCTGGCTTCATCTGTTGGCAGGCAAAACCCTTTCTTCTCACCTAGAGAATTTTTGCCCACCCTCCTTAGAGTCTCAGTTCAAATGTTACTTTCTGTAGCCTTTCCCACCCTTCCCAGGCAAAACTCTCTGTCCCTCCACAGCCCCAAAGCACTAGCTGACAGCGGTAGAGCAATCCTCACACTACATCACGTAAGTTCCACGAGCACGTCTCTCCCACTAGACTCTTAAGTGCCTGGCACAGCCCATGACATTGAACACACACAAGATATTTGACAAACTGCATTGCTTCCTAGAATTTTAGGACTGAGAAGGGCCAAAGAAGCCAACATTTGTTTTCGGATGCAAAAGTGAGACTCAAAGACTGAGTGACTTGCCCAAATCACAAAGACAGGGGCTGTGAAAGGACTGACACTGAAGTTTCCTCTCCCAATAAAACGCCTGAGGACAGAACTGTGTGTCTGGCTCGTTGCTTCCACTTCAGCAAAGGGCTGAGGTGTGTGGTGGACTCCCAAGTGTTTTCCATTACAAAATACTATGAATGTCAATACATAAATGTTGAGAAACACACAAATCCTAAAGTCAAATTTTATACCGGTCTTATATCAATTCCCAATTGTAAAGATTCTGAGAAATTAGCAAAATTACCTTGTATGAATTATATGAATTCATACATACATTATATGAATTATATGAATTATATGAATTATATGAAAGTAGTGTATGTCAAACATTTAATCTTTTGTAACATTAACACATTTAAAGTGAAATCTGTTTCCATGCCTACGGGTTTACAGTAGCCTGTCTACATAAAGTGAATAAGGCAGCTAAAACTGACACGCAGCATACCAACATTCAAAAACATTATTCATACAATGCAGACTATGTCAAATGCTAATAAAGAGCAAGTGATAACTTGCCTCTGTGGGGACTAGAGACAAGGATTCACATTTTGAGGAAGTCCAAGTTTACCGGCCAAAAGCCACACCACGATTTGCTGCCATTACGGAGAGAACCTAAGGAGAATGACTACTTCCACCAAGTAAAATACTTGGATTTCATCAATGGGACAAGAGAACCAGGATGCCCAACGAACAAACACTAAAGAGCAATCAGTCTCCTTTCCGACTGTCAGGATTAGTAGAAGACAGCATGAGTCCTTCCAGGAAATTCACGTAAGCAGGTCCCTAGAATTCTCTGACAAACACTGCAGCCGAAGGGGGCTATGACGCCAAGAAGGCCCAGGAAACCATACCGACCCTCCAGCAGGGCGTGGGGCCGGCCCAGCACAACTAGGCACAAAGGTGTTAACCCAACATCTGGGAGGATGCCGGCGCCACCACGGAGCCGCAGGCCCTCGGCATGCCCCTAACCGGGCCGGCCGATCAGATATAGGGCTTGGGCCCCCCTCATGGCGGGGAGGTGGCTGATTCCATGAGAGGCGGCCACAGGCCTGCACGGACCCCCAGAGCCTACAGACCGAGTCGCCCCTACAGAGAGGCCGCTCCACCTCTGACAAACGGCCGCAGCCCGGAGCCACCGCCCACCGCAGCCCGGCTCAGCCGCCTGCGGCCTTCCTCGGCCTGTCCCCCACCTTACAGGCCAAGCCGGGCTGGTGTTAGCCCGAGTCAGGCTGCAGGGCCTCTACTCCGCCCGAAGGACTCCAGGGCGGCGGGAGAGAGCAGCGGCTGCAAGAAGGGTCCGCCCGGGGCCCGCCGCCCCCTCATCACTCACCATGGCGATTCCCCAGAGCCTGCAGCAAGCAGCACCCACCCCGCGAGGAGCCTCCCGCGGTCATGTGACGTTGCCCCTCCTTGCCCCGCCCTCTATAGCCCCGCCTTCAGGTCCTGCAGGAGGCTCCTCGATTGGCCTACTTCTAGGAACGCAAGTCTCGCGTGCTTATTGGCCCTCGACACTTCACGCTAGACTGACGGACCAGGGAACCAGCCAATCTCTCCACAGTGTGTTAGAGTGGCCCGGGCGGGGAGGAGTAGGGGAGGGATCGTTCGGCGTCAGGCTGGAGACAGCAGGAAGGAAAGACGCTGTGTGATGAGTTTGTTAAGAAGGAAGGAATACGCGGGGGAACCGCCGATTCACGTTCACTGTATCCGCCTTGGAAAAATGCACTCGCGGTACGCATGCGCAAAATAAAGACCAGGATTGGCTTGTAGAACGGTCTCAACCTCTCGTCCCAACCAATCCAGATGCGCCAGGGTTGGGAGCTGGCTCTCACTGGCCGGCGCTGAGTCTGCGCGCGCATTTCGCCTCCCCGCAGCCGTGCCGGGGTAGTTCGCGTGTCCGCCATGGGGTCCGGGTTGATCGGGCACCTGGCCCCGCGCCTAGGCCTCGCCGAGCCTGGCGTGCTGAGGTGAGTCCGGGCACCCACGCTGCCGGCGGGGCCCCTGCCACGCGACCCTGGCCCTCCGACGAGGTCCGCGCCCTTCCCGGGCAACGGGCGGTGCTGGAGCCCCAGGGAACGCCGGGGCCGCGCGGGGTGTAGGCCTTTCTCTAAGGAAAACTTCCCGGCCGTGGGCTTCCCTGAGAGGGCGAGGAGGAGCGATCGTAGACGGCCCTGGGAACTGCGGCTCGGTGGGAGCTAGCGCAGTGGTAGATAGAAAACGGAACGAGTCGGGGAGAACGTCCGTCGTTCCGCAGACTTTCAGTGAGGGCCCTGCGGAGGTCACGGTCTGTAATGGCGAGAACCGTGAAGAACGTTCCACAGAGTGACGTGCTGGGGCGACTGGGGTGCGGGGCGCGGCGCGGCCTGGCGGCTGCCTTTCACAAAAATTCAGAAAAGGGCTCAGAGCAGGTGCCGTTCGTGCGGACACTAGGCCGATACAAGGTGCCAGGCGTGGGAAGATGTGAGAGTGGCGCGAGCAGAGACAACAGCCTGTGCAGAAGCCTTGAGATGGGGAGGATCTTTGCGTGACCCACGGCTCGAGGTAAAGCCGTTGTAGTTAACGGGTGGAGAGCGGGACCAGGCTCAGTGCCTCAGCAGTCAGTTAGGCGAGGGAAGGGAAGGAAAAGAACACTTCTTTGAAGATTCGAAGATGGACCTCCACGACCGTAAGCGTTTAGAACAGCGGTTCTAAAGTGTGGTTCCTGGACCAGCAGCAGCTGTGTCTTGGTACTTGTTAGAAGTACAAATTCCTGGGCCCCATCCCAGGCCTACTGTTCAGAAACTGGAGATGGGACATGGCAATCTGTTTTCACCAGCTGGTGGTTGACTGTCCTGTACACTAAAGTTTGAGAACCACTGCTTTAAAGTAAGTGGGGGGCGGGGAACCCTGGTCTAACCTGCCTGCCTCTGTGATAGTTGATGTTTGTTCTAGTAATGGAAGGAGCGAAGAAGGGATTTTTTTTTTCCTGGAACTTACTTTTGCCTGAAAACACTTGAGCACAGTGATGTCTGGAGTCAGGGTGCTGGTTCTGTCTTAGAGCTTCCCCTCCCCAAAGAATGTGAGCTTCATTCCCAGACCCAAATAAACTTGCACAGTAGTTAGGTACATTATGAAGTGCACCAGGCTGTATTCATTGTTTACCAAAGCGTTGGGCAAACTTCCGAATAAGAGTCTTAGTGAATATTTTGCCCTTTTAACCAGGAAAGCAGAGGAGTACTTGCGGCTGTCTCAGGTGAAATGCACTGGCCTGTCTGCACACACCACAGAAACCAGCAATGCAGTCATGTGCCTGGACCTTGCAGCTTCCTGTATGAAGTGCCCCTTGGACAGGGTAAGTAGGTCCCACTGAATGTCTGAGTAATCTATTGCAACATTAGTTAACCATTACATTTAAATTTTTGGTTGGACTAGACCCCAGTCAAAACTCTTGTTTTAGAATTTTCCTGGCTGTTCTCATGTTATTCTGGATAGACTTTAGAATCATTTTGTTGAATTGGAAAAAATTTTTTTTGCAATATTTTCTTTACTCTTTACTATCTGGTTTCTCTGACCACCTCTTTCTTTACTAGAGTTCATCTTCTACGCTGCTGCTAACATGATCTCCCTAAAGCACGTACTTTAAAACCTGTTTTTCTTCCATTATCACAGTGATTGAGAGAACAAGCTTTGGAATCAGGAAGAGTCACATATTGGGACCAAATCTCAATACCATTTACTAGTTCTAAACCTCCAGTTTCCTCATCCATAAATTGGGGATAAAAATACCCATTTCACTGGATTTTTTGTGAAGATTATACAATGTATTGTATGTAACACACTTAACACAGTACCTATGTCATAGCAATAAACTCATGAAATGGTAGTATGAAAAACAATGCTGAGGCCGGGCACGGTGGCTCACGCCTGTAATCCCAGCACTCTGGGAGGCCCAGGCAGGTGGATCGTTTGAGCTCAGGAGTTCGAGACCAGCCTGAGCAAGAGCGAGACCCCGTCTCTACTAAAAATACAAAGAAATTATCTGGACGACTAAATATATAGAAAAAATTAGCCGGGCATGGTGGCACGTGCCTGTAGTCCCAGCTACTCGGGAGGCTGAGGCAGGAGGATCGCTTGAGCCCAGGATTTTGAGGTTGCTGTGAGCTAGGCTGACGCCACGGCACTCACTCTAGCCCGGGCAACAGAGCGAGACTCTGTCTCAAAAAAAAAAAAAACAGTGCTGTGTTGGCTTCCCATTATCATCAAACTCTCCAGCCTATGTTGAACCCTGACCTCAAACTACAGAATTCACTTAACAAACTGTGTACTTTAGTCACTAGCGGCTTTATAAATACAATACCGTTTTTTCCTGTAGTGCTCTTCTGGCACGCTCCTGTTTGTCTTATGTGACCCTACCTTTCTTTTATGTCCTTTCTGAAGTTTCCTTGACGCTCCCAAAAAGAGTTGGTTCCCCACAAGTTGTTGATCCTCCTGCTTCTTTCCTGGTTTCCCTTCTCTCCCTTTCCCTCCTCCACACACATACCCTCCCCATGCCATTCCCACTACTGTTTCCTTCCTTTTCTCAATAAATTGCACATTGGCACCTTTGTTGAAATACAAATAATCATATAGGTGTCTCCTACCATTTTTTACTCACAGCTTGGCTACATTAACACTATGTAATAATTTTAAATTATCTGTATATATGCATGACTGCCTTTCTACAGTATGAGCTCCTTGAAAGCAGTACTTACTCTGGCTGACATCATTATTATTTTTTGACTAAATGAAGGTAAATCTTTGAGTAGAGTGACTTGCCACGGAACTGAATAATTTTGAAAACTTGATACCACTTGTTAAAACAAGCGTTTAAGGGTACCAATATATAAAACTTATGATTTTTATGATGTGTGTGTGTTTTCTTTCAAAGGCTTATTTAATTAAACTTTCTGGTTTGAACAAGAAGACATATCAGAGCTGTCTTAAATCTTTTGAGTGTTTACTGGGCCTGGATTCAAATATTGGAATAAGAGACCTCGCTGTACAGTTTAGCTGTACAGAAGCAGTGAACATGGCTTCAAAGTTACTGCAAAGGTATGGGGCATAAAGAACCTTAATTGAAAATTTATACTATAAAGCAAAGTTATCCAGGATTCTATTCTGGTTAATTCTCAGTCTTAAAAAAATAACTAATAGGCCAAAATGACACAGCACATCTCATGCGTTTTAAAAATGTTCTAAGTTCTGACTTACATTTTCAGTCCCTTTTGAAATATTTTCTAACAAAGAATTCTACAAACACTGTTCCCCCTTAGCTATGAGTCCAGTCTTCCCCAGACACAGCAAGTAGATCTTGACTTATCCAGACCACTTTTCACCACTGCTGCACTACTTTCAGCATGCAAGTAAGTGTTCCTTTTAACATTCAGAAAAGTCCCCAATTTATAGGTGCATTTTTCATTTTCAAAGAATACTTATAATTTAGTTGATTTCAACTCAGAGCATATTTTCCCCTATAAATAACATTGGGAATAGTGGCCAAGTTCCCCATTTATCCCATAATGTAGTTGACAACTTGGAACTAGTGCTGCCAAAAGTCCACTTGCCAAGTGGCATAAGCTGGTATTCTGATTTCAGAGTCTGCCTTTTATGTAAGTGATGAAATCTACCATTGAAACAGTGTTCATGTGTGATTTCCTGGTCTTTTTTTTTTTTTTCTTTTAAGTACTGACTGCAACTGTTCTTCAAGTAATTTATAAAACGTTTCAGTGATAAATCGTTACATCTGAATCGTAAAATTCTGGGTTATCTATGTATATACTGAAATGTTACCCTGGAAACATCAGTAATTGTTGATGGCTTTGTCTAAAGTTGCCTTATTTTATCTTGCTGGAAAACTCCTTAGAAAACAAAGTGTAGTTGGCCCTTAAATAATAGGTTTCTCACTACCTAGCCTAATTTTGGTATGCTTGACTTTATTAGCTACATACCCAGGAGTGATTAATTGACATTTGTAGAAAATGTCCCTTTAATTCAATAAAAGTATGTGTGCATAGATGGGAGTATGGCTGTTATTGTAGAAAACAGAACAGTCAAATAATCCCACTTTGAAACCATACTACACTAAGTAAAGAAAGGTCTGAACAGGTCTGTTATCGGGAATAAAAAGGTTGTTTTGTGTTTTTTATTAGCGGTTGCTGTGTTACTAGTAAGGTTTTTTGTTTGTTTGTTTGTTTTTTAGGATGCGGGGGGAGCATGACATTCCTGTAGTATAAGTGCGAGTGTCATGGGTTAAAACGAGTTGCACACTTAAAAATGCTATGATTGTCATTCAGCAAATTAATAACATCCAAGATTTACTAAAAAGAGTTCTAACAGGCATGAAGCACTACAGCAAATGTCTTTTATGTGTCCCTTTTGTTACAGAACAAATTCCAAGCTCTTTGTCCAATAAACAAAGAGCTTTAAAAGGCAAATTTACATGGTTATAGTTAATGACATGTTTGGAATAAAGGAAAAAGTAGACAGTTGGGGGTTCTTACTAATGCATGGGCAAACAGAAATAAGTTGATAATCTGGTTGGCCAGAGAGGAAAACTATTGGTCTTGAGGAAAGCAACTTATGAAATTCTTTTGTAGGATTCTAAAGCTGAAAGTGGATAAAAACAAAATGGTAGCCACATCTGGTGTTAAAAAAGCCATATTTGATCGTCTCTGTAAACAATTAGAGAAGATTGGGCAGCAGATTGACAGTGAGTATTCTGTAGTTCAAGAATATGTCATTTTAAAATGTAGACTTGCTGGTAAAAGTCAAATATTTTTAAACTTGCAAACTGGCTGCTTCCTAAATTCTATATTTCATGTGGACCAGATACGTTTTTAGTGAGAAAATTGGGTTTTAGACTAATATTTTTCAAGTGAGTCTGACAAGAGAGGCCAAAGAAAAGAGAAGACCAAAATCTTTTGCCTTCTTATCCTGACATTTGGTCAGTCAAGGTTCTAATTTTTATTTGTGATCCAAAATATGCCCAAATACTGAAATTGAGAATAGGAGGAAATTAACCTTGATAATACTTTTTTCCTTAAAGGAGAACTTGGAGATTCAGATACTCCACCACGGAAAAAAAAGAAGACAGTGGTCGAACCCCCAGCAAAGGGTAAGTTTTACTAACTCTGTACTGACATTGAAATTAGTGCATTATGGAGTCTGGTGAGGGTTAAATGAGATACTACTATTAAAGTGCTTGGTTCACTGCCTATCAAGCATGCGATAAGTGCTTGATAAATGTTAGCTATTATTAGAAGTTTTGGAATGCTTGGAATATAAGGAAGAGAAAAAGGTGATAGTTAAGCTGCATGCAGTGGCATAAGCTTGTAGTCCTAGCTACTTAAGAAGTTTAGGTGGCAGGATTGCTTAAGCCTGGGAGTTCATGTCTAGCCTGAGCAACACAGCAAGATCCCATCTCTTCAAAAAAAGTGATAGCTGCTGTTTCTACATTTCATTTCAGTATTTTATTTCCTATTACATTAATTAAAGTAGATACTTTAAACAAGTTTGCTTTTTTCTTATTTTGTTACTAAACATAAGAATTTTGAAATTATGTTTGATAATTTTCTGTCATAGAAATAGAGAAAGTAATAGAGATACCACATAAACTGCAGAAAGATGAAGATCTGACACAGGATTATGAAGAATGGAAAAGAAAAATTTTGGAAAATGCTGCAAATGCTCAAAAGGCTCCAGCAGAGTGATTTCAGCTTCCAGACTGCCATGATGCAAACTGAAGTACAGTGCCACCTCCAGGCCGATTTGAGGGCTTTGGAATTTTGTTTGAACTTTTTATAACAGAGATCCTAAGACTGTTGCCTCCATAGCAAAGAAGGGAGCACTGGGCAGCGGGCTGCCCCTGACGTGGGCAACATTAGATCAACTACAGTGCCTCACTGGAATAGCCTCAGGTGCTCCTACAAAATGGAATTGGAGCCATTTTGCTTTGCTTTGTTTTAGGTGAATGGCAGCCTCCTGTCCTATCCGGAATATAAAATTCAGGCTAAATGGAACCTTACAGATTTACTTAAGTTTTTGTGTAAGTTTTGTGGTTTGACCAATATATTATACAACCTAAGTTAATAAATGTTATTTTTATATGCATTCAAGTTGCACTTGTCATCAGGTTGGGAAAATCTTTGTTATGCTAAAAGCTATGTCTACTCTAGCAGGAAAAAAGGCACACTGCTCACCAGAGCACAAACTTGAATCGGACTTCCTGGGTTTAAAACCCTGCTCAGCCTCTTAACACCTGTGAGACATTGAGCAAATTAATTAGCTTCTTATGCCTCATCTATAAAGAGGAAATAAAAATGATATTACCTCATAGTATAATTTGAAGGAGTATGAGCCAATACATGTAAAGCATTTAGCACAGTACCTGCTATGAGTATTTAGTAAATATTAGAATGTAGAGAAAATCTCACATATAGAGGTCTCACATAAAGCATTAGCACCTTATTCTAAAATTAAGCAATCCATCAAGGTTTATTTTCTTTTACACCTACATACTGAAAAGTGTAACCTTAGTGTAAATACTGCTTATTTTAAAACCATGGAAAGGACCTTCATGGAAGGTAAGAAGTTGGTAAGGGCATCATGCCAAACAATTTTAAGTAAAATTAAGAATACATGATCTTATTAAATATTTCCATGATGAAGTGATTACATCTAAGTTTTTAAAAATGTATTCAGAATGGCATTAATAATAATAGTGATTGTCTTTTATCAGCTACGAGTAAGGCATAATACCTGTTGCACAGACCTAGAGTGATTGAAGGTGGTTTTTCTTCTTTAGCCTGCCCTTTTTGATTGCAGAAATTTAGCAGACTCAGGCTAAAGAAATACCACAATGAAATGACCCCAACATAAGCATAATGTCTGGCAAAGCCTGTGGGTATTGGGGCATGAACATGACCTTTGGAACCACACGCACAGGATTGAAATTCTGGCTTTGCCACTTCTCCCCTAAAAAAAGCTCAAAACCTTACTGAACCTCAGTTTTCTCATTTGTAAAATAGAAAAGTCAGGTGCGGTGGCACATGACTAGTCCCAGCTACTCTGGAGACTGAGGCAGGAGGATTGCTTGAGCCCAGGAGTTTGAGGCTGCAGTGAGCTATGATTGCGCCTGGTAATAGCCAGTACACTCTAGCCTGAGCAACACAGCAAGGCCCTGTCAATCAATCAAAAATAATAATATGTAAATAAATATAAATAAAAAATAAACTAATAAATCTGTCTTGTTAGGATTAAAGGTCATGTTGTATTTGTAAAGTGCGTAGCACTTAGAAGGCATTCATTAAGTAGTAGCTTTTGTTACTTTGGTCTAAGATGGATAAGTGAATCTTCCTCATTTATTTTAAGAAGGTATGTAATTTGGTGCCAAGATTTAGATTTCTAGCTCTGAGTCAAAAACAATGTACTCATCACCATGTAAAATTAAGCACATTACTTTTTTTAATTGTAAAATATACATGACAAAATTTATCATCTCAACCTTTTTAAGTGCACAGCTCAGTAGTGTGTAGTCACTGTTTTGCGACCATCTCCACAATTTTATCGTCTTGCAAAACTGACTACCCATTAAACAACTCTCCATTCCTCCTTCTTAACCCTGGCAGCCACCATTCTACCTTCTGAATTTGACTAAGTACTCATATAAGTGGAATCAAACAGTATTTGTCTTTGTGACTGGCTTATTTCACTCAGTATAACGTCCTCAAGTTTCATCCATGTTGTAGCATGTGTCAGACTTTCCTTCCTTTTCCAGGCTGAATATTCACTTGTATATACCACATTTTGTTTATTTGTTGGTCAGTGGGACACGGGTTGCTTCCTTCTCTTGGCTGTTTTGAGTAATGTTGGTATGAACATGAGTGTACAAATATCTCTTGGGGACACTGCTTTCAGTTCTTTTGGGTGTATACCCAGAAGTGGGATTGCTGGGCCAGACGGTAATTCTATTGTAAGCGTTTGAGGAGCTACCATACTGTCCGTAGTAGCTCACCATATTATATTCCCGCCAACGTTGCACAAGGGTTCCAATTTCTCCACATCTTTACCAAAACTTATTTTCCGAGGCTTTTTCTTTTCCTTTTTTCCATAGTAGCCATCCTAATGGGTGTGAGATGTTATCTCATTGTGGTTTTGATTTGCATTTCCCTAATGATTAGGGAAAAGATGTGGAGCATCTTTTCATGTGCTTATTGGCTGTTTGTATATTTTCTTTAGAGAAAACTCTAAGTCTTTTGCCCCATTCTGAATCAGGTTGTTTTTTGTTGTTGAATTTCTGGAGTTTTTTAATATAGTCTATGTACTAATCCTTATCAGATATATGATTAGCAAGTATTTTCTCCCATTCCTTAAGTTGCCTTTTCAATGTGCTGATTGTGTCCTT